TGTAATATGTAACTTTACTAGTGACAACCACCAGGTGGTCTCCATCGCGGTGGCCCTTCCTCCTAAAAATTGACATCATCAAGGTCCTCCTCAGGGATACCAAACCACTCATCATACTCTCGATATCATCCTTGCCCGCCGCCTACAACAATGGACACGAAGCTTCATCAATCATGTTAAACCCTAGTTGATCTACTTAGGAGAACTCGAAACCAACCCAGAATGCAAATCTACCAACTCCGAGTAGCGACTCGTACTATCCCTTAGTTAGTCATAGTGATTTCGACGGTGGTACTGATTGTCGACGAGATGGGAAAACTCAATGCTAGCAAAGATAGTGAGAGAACACAAGCCCATGATTTTTTAGGGCAAGAGCTTCTACCCCGGTTCCATTTTAAGAAATCATGTGACCATACATTTTGTAGCATGCAGAGCACGACATGAATACAAGGCTCAACAAAAAAGTTTTAAGAAATCTAAACAAGTTCAACCAGGTAACTAAAAAAGGTAAGTAGAGCCACCCAAAATATAGAGATTGACACCATTGTCCACCCCCCCCCCCAAATGGTAGAGCACTCCAAACAAAGGATTGGGCATGATGTAGAACAATAAGCTTCACAACATTGTCCACTAACTGATGCTTCTTGGCTTTGAGTCTCAATGCCATGCTTGCGGTATCCAGTTCCCATTCCTTAACAGATGTTTTCCTGAAAATCACATATAAGCCATATCAGTAAGAAGAATTAAAGTATAAATCATGCGGGTTCTCCATATAGACCACAAAGTGGTTGCATGGACAACATTTTCAACTTAATGATAAGCATTACTAATCCACCAACATGTGACACAATCAACACTAGCTCTACATCTCATTCCATTAAGCAAAGAAATGTATCTCCAAATCTTAGTAGAAACAACATAACTCAAAAATCAAGTGAATATATGACTCATGCTCATATCAAAAAAAGGCAAGAGAGGCCAGGTACATTTTGTCTCTTGTTGAGATTATCTCTAGTTGAGTAGTTTATTGTTAGCTAGCAACCACAAAAAGATGCGAATTCGAAGGAACAACTAGCTTCCAAACAATAGGAATTTTAACAGAGTTATACCTCTGAAATTAAAAAGAGCATATAAGGAACTAACTAAATAAATCCCTTTAGACTTAGTTTCCAGATTAAAACATCTTTCTCAACAAAGAGGTTAATGGGTTAGGCAACATGAGTTAGGTCAAACCATTTATTCAGTAAATTACCAAAATATCTCCTAAAAGAGATTTTCCATTGTGATCCATCCCAGATTTCAGCAATAGTGAGGTTATGCTCATTAGAGATCATATAAAGATCCCCAAAATTTGCAGCCAAGCTGACAGAACCAACCATTGATCTTCCTAAAGTTGAACCTTCTTAGCATTCCCAACTTTCCATTGATATCCAATATTGGCATCTTTAGTGTCTCAGAAAACTCCTTTCCAAAATGGGGAGATATCATTGTTGGAACAAGCAAAAAGGTTAGGAGATTGGGTTGTGCATTTCTGATAAATGCTCTGTTTCTAGAACTTGTTATTATTTAAACAGTATCTCTTAATCCAAGAGGCTATGAGGCAAATGTTAACTTCACAGAGATTAGGTATACCCAACCCTCCAAAATATTTCCTCATACATAGCAAATCCCAATTGGCTAGGTGGTACTTATGCTGGCTAGGTGGTACTTATCCCCAAAACAATGAGCCATTTAAGAGTTAATCAAAAAAATACTGATTTGAGAAACTTAATGACACTCATATAGGCAAGAATGTTGACTAGTCAAGACTGGAACAAAGTCAATCAACCACTGTGAGCTTCCCTCTCCATTCAACAACTCTTTTAACAATCCTATCTACTACTGGTTGTAGGCCCCCTTCCTATGTTTAGCATGGTAAGGGGAACACCAATATACTCCTACATCACACAGTATCACATGGTTTGAGCAAAAGGTTGAGCCTCAATGTTAATAGGCATCAAATCACATTTACTGAAATTAATCCTCATGCCACACAACTGTTCAAAACATACAAGAATCCATTTGAGGTTTCTAACATAGTCATCTTTTTTTTTTAAAGCAGGGTATCATCAGCATATTGCATGCTAATGATACCGGTAGGTTGAATTATTTGAAAAAGCCCAAGAATCTGCTCATAGTTGCCTTAATGAGCATTCTAGTGAATACATCAACAACTAAATTTAGTATCAAGGGGAAATAGGGTGACCTTATCTAACACCTCTACAAGATTCACAGAAATCACTAGTAATGCCTACAAAACCATTCCTAAGTAATGTTTTGACAAGATTAACCCACTTATGGCAAGGGGCCCCTTTGAATGATAATAGAGGTAAGAAATATCCTATTAACCATGTCACATGCCCTTTCATAGTCTAATTTAAAGGTGAAACCACATTGCCCAATATGCACCACATCATGAATAACTTCATGAGTAGAGAATACTTTCCATAATATACCTCTTTGGGGCAATAAGTTCTTTCCTAATTTTTCCAAGCCTAAGTGGTAGGACATTTGATGGCTAGGTGGTACTTATCCCCAAAACAATGAGCCATTTGAGAGTTAATCAAAGAAATTGCTCATTTGAGAAACATAATGAAGGAATGCTGGCTAGGCAAGACTAGATCAAAGTCAATCTGCCACTGTGAGTTTCCCTCTCCACCCAACAACTCTTTTAACAATCTTATCTACCGCCCTTCCTATGTTTAGCATGTTGAAGGGGAACACCAATATACTCCTACATCACATGGTATCACATGGTTTGAGCACAAGGTTGGGGCTCAATGTTAACATGCCTCAAATCACATTTATGGAAATTAATCCTCATACTAGACAACTATTCAAAACACATAAGAATCCATTTGAGGTTTCTAACATAGTCATCTTAATTTTTTTTTAAATCAGAGTATCATGAGCATATTTCATGCTAATGATACCAGTAGGTTGAATTATTTGGTAAAGCCAAAAATCTGCCCATAACAGTTGCCTTAATGAACATTCTAGTGAATACATCAACAACTTAATTATGTCTAAGGGAAACTAGGGTGACCTTGACTAACACCTCAACCTGATTCACAGAAATCACTGGTAGTACCTACAAAACCATTCAAAACAAAAGTTTTGACAAGATAGACCCACTTATGGCAAAAGCCCCCTTTAAATGATAACAGAGATAAGAAATATCCTATTAACTATATCACATGCCCTTCCATAGTCTAATTTAAAAGATGAACCCACATTGCCCAATATGCACCACATCATGAATAACTTCATGAGTAGAGAATACTTACCATAACACACCTTTCCATAAT